TGGTTGGTTGGTTGGTTGGTTGGTTGGTTGGTTGGTTGGTTGGTTGGTTGGTTGGTTGGTTGGTTGGTTGGTTCAAGGAGACTTTATTGTCATTGGCATCACATGTGGTACATGAGGTGGATCAAAATTGTGCACTCAAGGTCACATTTACACCCCAAAATAGCAATATATATATAAACCAGTTACTCAGTTAACTGGTAACTAATAATAACTGGTTTATTGACTGAATCGTTGGTCAGTTGGAATTGGAAGCTTAAACCTATTGAAGTTATTTGTGCAGCACCCGGGGCCTCATGCATGAAAACGTGTGCAGTTTTCATACCGAAAGTTGGCGTAGGGACAAAATCAGAAAAGTACAAAATCAAAGTTAGCAAACCGCGCACACGCATGTCTCTGCACTCGTTTCCTTCATACGCGCCAACCAATGTGAACCTGAGCGCACATGAGACGCCTCCCCTGACATGGCACCTTTTAAAAATGTAAAGTAGGCGCAAATACGTTTTGCATGTGGGAGTCTCGCCTCTGCACATTGAAGTTGCTGCGTAGACGCAGCAAAAGGAGGAATTTGATGGAATGAGAGTCAGAGACGCTCCTAAATAATTAATGGGGTGTTAAAACATGTTTGTCACACATGAGCAACGTGTGTGTTTATGCATGTGTTGTCTTTGAAGAAAGTGAACCAGAGAAAGATCTGCTGGTGGCGCACTTTTGAATCTGAGGCATTTCCATCTTTACGCATATGTTCAATAAGATAATTACGATAAACACAGAGACACCAGGGGGCTTGGGAGAACGGTGAAGCTTATTTTTTAAATGATGCGAAGAAATGAGTTGCTGGGCATCAGTAAAGCGTTTCAGCCGTGATGTGGGGAAGTTGTATATCTGGACAACATATCGACGACAGGTCCCGTACAGCTGACATGTCATGACGCAGGAACGACTGAAGAATACCCGCTGAGCTTTTGGTCGGTGCGATCCCCCAATTACACGCAACTTTACGCAGCTGTTCATGCATACGTCATTGTCTGCACCTTGTAGATCTGTGGAATCATCCCAGGTGAGTTGTTCTGGATTAGTCACCGTCAGAACAAAAGAATGGAAGTTCTACTTAGATCATTTACACACATTTTATTCTCCTAATCTGTCTGTGCTCCTCGTAGGCGTGCGATCTCTGATGTGTGTTTGCATCTACACGTGACAAAAATATAAGAAATTTACAGTTTACATTGAAGGGAGGTTGATTTCATCCCTTTTGGAGGCGTCATTCTGTACGTTGTGCTGCAAAAGGTTAGCAATGTTGATTAAAAACCCATAAACTATCATGTTTTAGTGTTTTTGAGTTTCAGAGCCGTTTGTAGTTTGATACCGTGGACTGAAAACGTTTGCGTGGAGTTAAGCACATTCTTAGGTCAGGAGTGTGTATATAACATCTTAGAAACATTTATTTTAATCAGGAGCTTTGGATGTTATCAGCCCATTAAATGACTTTTATTAGTTGTTCATCATCCCCTTAGGTTGCGTTCAGACTGTCCCTCCTACCTCCTAGTAGTTTGAAAGGTACGTTGTTATCACTGATTACATGCAGCCTCGCACGTGTGTAAAACCGTAAGGTTTTTTTTTGTTAACTTTATTTAATCCCTTTCCTAAACCTAAACTTACACCTGACCCAGAGCACTAGGTAAACTTAACCCCCAGACCCATTACTCTTAACCAAACCATGTAACCCTATTATCAGCACTAACAACGTTTAAACCTAATAGGAGGTACAGTCTGAACGCAACGTACGAGGATGATAACAACTAATAATGGACATTTAATGGCTGATAACATTTGAAGCTGGTGTTTTAATTCAAATATCTACAGGTGGACATTTGGACAATGTGATAAAACACCAATATGGCAAAGTTCCAATAGGTTTTGCCAAAAAATGTAATTGTTGTGTTTATTGAGCCAAAAGTGTATTTAGATAAATTAGTTTGTTTGGTGTATTCAGCTTTAAGTGCTTGGTAAATGGAAAAAAAGGAACAATTAACGTTTTACTGTGAAAGCAGGAATGTTAAATTGTTCTTATGAAAGAATTGTTTTTACCTGAAGAGAGAAATCTTTCTTCCGAAAAGAATTGTTTATATGCAATTTTACAGTCATCGATGTCCATGTTGGTCTTGGTGGAGGCATGGTACTCGACGGCCATTTTTTACATCTGCCTAATGACTTGGAGACTTATCAGGAAAAATAAAACAATTAATTTCTGGCATAGAAATTGAGCAATCAATCAATCAACCTTTATTTATACAGGTAAATCCCATTGAGCCTCGAGGACTCATTTACAAGAGAGACCTGAAATTGAATTGAATAGAAATTGAGCATTCAGCAGTGTTCTGATGATGAGGAGACGAAACTAATGAAACATTATATAACATGTTATTTCATTTAAGTTCTTACAGTGGAATCAAAAGCAATAGACTTTTGAAATGTTCTTTGAAGCTTCTTATAAAACTTTCAAGGGAAACAAAACTGTTAAACTAACTGTGACAGAGCACTTGAACACGTGATTTAAAAGAAAAATAATAAATATAGACAATAAAATGAGTTAAACATACCTTTTTTTTTAGTAAGGACCAGGAAAGCTGATGTTCTAAAGAAGCTTTTGTCGAGTCGAGATGCAAAAAAGTGAAATTTACTTTCTGTAACGTTCGCGTGTCCTCAATCTAATCAAAGTGGAGTTGTTATCTTTCACTTGAGAGCATGAAATCTGATGGACGGCTGGTGGGCGGAGCAAAAGTCCTCTGCTTTTTCATTTGTTTTAAGCTCAGTACGTGTCATGTTTTAGACATTTGGGAAGCTCAAGTCAGCAGAAATTTAGCTGATAAGCAACAAGAAGGCAAGAGTTTCTTCAGAATCTGTACAGGAAATAAAACTCAAAACTCCACTTTAAGTGCCATGGAAACTAAGGGTGCTGCAGCATCGCCCCTGTGGGAAGCCAGAGGACACCTGTCCAAATACATAAAGAATTATTGAAATATATACATTAATAAACACCTCCAGCAGCTTACATTTCACCCCTTTTATTTGCTTTTATATGTGCTGAGGGAAATAGAAAATGTCCACCAAGCTGATCTATCCTCAGAAACAAAACAGCACGACGGCTCAGTGGTTAGCACTGTCGCCTCACAGCAAGAAGGTCCTGGGTTCAATCCCCGGCTGGACCTGGGGTCTTTCTGTGAGGAGTTTGCATGTTCTTCTCGTGCTTGCTTGGGTTTTCTCTGGGTACTCCAGTTTCCTCCCACATACAAAAAACATGCATGTAAGGCTGCCTCCAGGTCTCCCTTGCAAAAAAGATCTCAATGGGATTTTCCTGATTAAATAAAGGTTCATAAATAAAATAACAACTAAAGCATGTGCTCTGTTCCTTTTAGTGCAATCTACAGGTTTACTTCTGGACATATCTGGAATGAGTTTCTGTGAGAAACCTGAGCAAAGCAAGTCAAAAACATCAACAGCTTGAAAAGGAAAAACAAGTTGCATGTCAAAAATAGTGTCCCATATTTCAATAAAAACAATAAAATCACTTTCTACCACTATTTTTACTTTAATCCTGTATGTGTTCAAATATAAGGTAATTGAAGAATTGACCAGACTCAGACCTTGTTTCCACGTGCTCATAAAACAATTGCCATTTTTTTATCTTTGATTTAAAACAACAAATAAATAAAACCACTTGTTTTTATGAGCAACTCATTTTCTGCAAAGACGTGCAGTCTAAAACCGAGTTATGGTTCTCTTGTGATACCATAACTATTTTTAATTCTAGGATTTCTTTTCTTTATGCAGCATTTCTCAGCGCAGATAGCTTCAAATTGAAATATTCTATTTCACAGACCTGTTTTGTTCTGTATTTCTGCACAAACATTCTTTATTGTTTTGAAAACCTCGTCACAGTTGCCCAGCTTTATGACTGTAGAGGTCACGTCTGATTTTACATCAGGTCAATCCGCCCTCTCCACTGATACGTTCAGCTCTGAAGAGGGCTGACATCCTTGTGCAACACATGTATCTGATAAGCTCTGAGGCTCTTTATAAAAAGCATTCTTTCATTATCTTGCATGTCTGGAATTGTTTCTGAGAGGATCTGTGTTGTCCTGCACTACTCTGTGTTCCTCCCTAATGTAATCAGCTCCTGCGTCCACCACCTGTTGTCCTTGCTCAGGTGTTTGTCATTGTCTGTTTGTCAGTGTTTGTAGTCTGTCTCTGTCAGTGGCGGCTGGTGGAGTTTTCTCCGGTGGGGCTTTAAGTGTGTGGAGTGGAAATGTCCATTGTTTCATCAGCCTGGATGGAGACAAAGTCTGCACTCCTGATTTCTTCAATGATGCACTCTCTCAAAACTGACAGCATACAATTAAGGAGTTCATTCTGCACAGTCTTAGATGTTCCCTTAAACACAGTGTCAGCAGGTGCTCATATAGAACTGCATCCAACTGATGCTAAAAAAAAATCCACCAATCCTCTAAATCACCTGAATTTTCTGATCTTTCGCTTTCATCGTGGCTACGCAGGTCAAGTTCAAATGCACCACAGAAATTGACACAGTCTATTATTTTTGATAAAACGTGCCTGTTTTTTTCAACCTCCTCATTGCGCTTACGGATCCCTACCCTGTAAAGTTCATCAAGCTGAGATGAAATGTTTGTTTCCCCAATCATGGCTAATTGCAGTGCATTCTCCATGTGGATCTCAGATTGTCATGTGTTTTAGCATTTTATTAAAAAAAAAAGCTTTAAATCAGTCATGTCTGTCTTAATTCATGCTGGGTCAGATCCTGTTGTTTGCAAAAGGAGGCAGGGAAAGCAGAATAAAGCATTAGCATTACATGCTAATGCTAGCATTAGCATTACATGTAATTAGCATTACATGCAGTTAGTCAAGCCTTGTTGCTAAACCTGGAAAAAGACCGAGTGTATTGTCTTCCTCTGTCTGTGGACTGTTGATTAATTGTGATGTTCGGCCCACCGCTGGATGGTGGTGATATGCAAATCAAGCTGCATTCAGCTCTGGGCGCAGGAGAGGTGCGCCCCGAAGGGTCCTATCTTTTATATTGAAGAGGAGCTACTGCGCATGTACAACTTTTAACGAGTCTATGGACAAAGATTTTTGTGCCCCAGGGCAGAAATACATCACTAATCAGACAACATCAATAAACAAAACCACTTTAATAATCATTAACTATAAAATATGTATTTTACACACTTTAAAATATATATATATTTTTTAAATATTTTTATTTTATTATTTCACTTTTATATAATTTTTTATGTCTAATTCAAAGTAATGTGACGAGTGGTAAGTGGTGAGGCAGCACCCTTGCGCCCTCTATTGGCCAGCCACCACTGGTCTCTGTGATCCCCGTGTCTGCGCATTGTCATCCAAGATGTTTGGTTCTGTCTGTCTTCATGTCTCCTCATTCCTTGCTCCTTATCTGAGTACTGCTGCCTCCTGTTATTTTGTCAATAAATATTATTTTTACTTTACCCTGTGTGTTCCCTGTACCATTGGGTTCACATCCTCATACACGTGTGTTTTTGACCAACTGAAGGACCCAGGCCTTGTTGATTGTTGATGACTCAATGAGACATCAATAAAGGTTAAATAAACTTTTTTTTTTTTTAAATGAGGCCTGCAGGCAGAAAGAAGGTGTTTCTGTAGCGGGTGGATTTGGTCCTGATGGCCTCCTGCTAGAAGGAAGCAGGTCAAACAGGGGGTCCAGGTTGGGAGGGGTCAGTTGCAATCTTTCCTGCACACTTTGGAGTCCTAGAGGAGTACAGGTCCTGAAGAGATGGCCGACTGTAGCCTTCTCAGCAGTCCCGATAATACGCTTGGCGATGACAGCAGCCTACCAGACGGTGATGGAAGAGGAAGGATAGACTCGATGATAGCAGTGTAGAGGTTCACCGTTCATCGTCTTCAACTGCTGCAGCAAATACATGCTCTGTTGTTCCTGTTGAGGGAGATGATCGGCTCCCATTTCAAGCTCTGGTTAATGGTGGTTCCTAGGAACCCGAAGGACTCCAGAGGTTACTGGGGAGACTCGCAGGGTGAGGGAAGCAGGTGAGGCTGAGCTCTTTCTAAAGTCCACAGTCATCTCCAGTGTCTTCAGAGAGTTATAGCTGCAGGTTGTTCTCCGTCCAGATGATGAATCTCCCACCTGCAGGCCATCGCATCCTCATCTGAGACGAGACCAGTGTGAGTAGCATCATCATACAAACCTGGGGAGTCTGACAGATTGACTTTTTTTATTTTAAATTAATTTAAAAATCAACAACCCGGGTCTTCTTGTCGCCGTTATTATTGTCTGACGCCAAAAAGTGAAGGCAAAGAAATAATGTTTTTGCTCATGCCTGTGTGTTTGGCTGTACTTTTAACAAAAACCAAATGAACTGTCGTAGTCTGAGGTTAGCAGCGAACCCAGAGTGCAGAACAGGGACTCAACTCGGCAGATATACAAAAAATGTTTTAATGATAAATAAAAGTACAAAATAAACAAGCTGACGGGGCAGCAAAACTTACATGAATCAAGGCACGAGGAACTCAGGCGACAAGAGAGACACGGGGAACTCGAGGGACCAGGAAGACTCAGGACAGACAGGACAAGACTCAGGAGACCAAGGGAGAGTGCCAACGAAGACGACCCGACAAGAACAAGACAGAATAGGACTGCTTAAATACTGTGAGGAGACGAGACATTATGACAACAGCTGAGACGAGACGCAGGTGGCAACAATGGAAACTAACGAGGAAGCACGAGGGAAACAGACACAAACAGGGCCACAGAAAAGTACCGTCCTTACAATGAACCACTGAATGGATTTTATTGAAAGAATCAACAACTGGTTCATTTTTTTTGTCAACCCAGTTCAAGATGGCCGCCACATCTAATTGATCAAAGGAAACACAAAATGACCAACTCTTGTGCACAAAACTTCAGCTTTGTTTGTTAAAATCAACACTGTCTGTTAGCAAAATATCTCAATAAAAGTTGGACAGAGTTTAGTGAAACTCTCAGAAAGTAACCACTGACATTACATCTACAGCTCATTAACGTTTGGAGTTAACCCGACTGCCACAACTAATGAACCATAGCTATAACTAGTTAATTTTGAACTGATTTTGGTGTGGCAGTAGCTGAGAGTCTTCCTCAACACATTCTCTG